CTCTCCCTCTCCCTCTCCCTCTCCCTCTCTCCTTTTGTACCAGGAATCAAACCCTTGTAAGGCCGGCACTGTGCCACTGAGCTATATCCCTGGCTGACACTAAAAACTTTGCATTGTCAAAAATATCTGCTCCTGGGGCCAGGGAGATGGCTCAGTAGAATAAACACTCACCTGGCAAGCGCAAAGGCCTGAGTTCAATCCCCAGTTCTGAAAAAAAAAAAATCTGCTCCTGCCCAACACCAGCTCCACACCCTTAAACCCTGGAAGGAAGGAGACTAGGGTGGGGTGAAGCCATCTGGGAAGTAGCCTGATCTGCTAACTGCACAACCCCAGAACAGAAGAGATCAAAGCCCTGCCCTTGGACTTCTCGCGAGCACCAGGCAGTTCTCCACAGTGTGCTCTAGACCTGCCCTCAGCCTAAGGAGGGGTGTACAGACAGGACACTGAGTGCTCTGCTGGGCGTTCCAGCTCACACAGGTGGTCTTGCCCTGAAGAGCTGCATACTTCTCTCCTTTGATAACTGAGCTCTGTTCCTGAAACCAGGCCAAGTGAAATGATCGCTAAATGCAGAACTGTGCATAGTATGTACATCACAATATTCAGAACAGGGCTGGTGAGATGGCTCAGTGGTCTAAAGCACCTACTTAGAACAAGCTAAGCTAAACAAAACACAGGGACCACGGTTCAATCCCCCAGCACCACATGCCAGCCAGCCCCGCCCCCTGGTGGGCTAAACTGGCCACACACACACACACACACACACACACACACGCAAATAAAAATGAAAAAGAATGATAAACTCGAAACCTTTAAAAAATATTCAGAACAAAGAAAAGGTCACAGGAAACTCAGACTTGATGACATTACATTTATTTGCTCAACTTTTTTTTTTTTTTGGTATTTTAGTACAGGGTCTACAGGGTCTCACTATGTAGATCTGACTTGTAGTGATCCGCCTGTCTTCAGCCTCCCAAGAGCTGGGATTACAGGGGCATGCCACTACGCCCAGTCTCAATCACCATCCCAGCGTACCTCAGGGGTGGGACCGGCACAGCATTCTGGGGTTGACCCCAGTCACTGCGTCTGCCTCAGCGGGCGCTTTAATCTGCTGAGCTATTTGTGTGTCATCCTTGCACAGGGGCCATGCTAATCTTCTCTGTATCGTTCCAATTTTTAGTATATGTGCTGCCGAAGCGAGCACTTGCTGAGCTATTTGGCTGGCCCTTATTTGCACAACTCTTACGTGCAGTGCTGCAATGTATAACAGTACAGAACTATAGTAGTGTGCTATACAATACAATCAACAAAAATTTCGGTACTGTGTGAACAAGGTGTACTATCCAAAAAAAGAAGACACTGAAGCTCCATAAACAAGATGTATAGGTGTGGTGGCACATGTCTATAATTCAAGTGCTCTCAAGTCTGAAGCAGGAGGATCACTTTAAGTTTGAGGCCAGCCTGGCTGCAAATTGAGTTAAAAACCAGCCTGCACTGCATAGTGAGACCCTGTCTTAAAAATACAGGGAGCAACCAAAAAAACCCTAACAAGTACAGAACTCTACAAAAAAATAAAGGCCAGGCATGGTAGGACACTCCTATAATCCTTGGGAAGCACTGGGGAGGCTGAGGCAGGAGGATTATTGTGAGTTCAAGACCAGCCTGGGCTGCAAAGTGAGCTCCAACTTTTACATGGCCTGAACTCGCTCTGCAGAGCCTACTTCTGTGTTTATCTTTTTTGTCTTTTTTTTTTTTTTTTTTTTTTTTTGCGGAACCGGGGATTGAACTCAGGTTGTTGCGCTTGCCAGGGAAGCACTTACTCCACTGAGCCATCTCCCCAGCCCAAATGGAATAAGGATTTTTTTTTTTTGCTCCGAATACCTTCAGGGCAGGTTTGGCTGGCTTGAGTTGTGGGGATCAAGCCAAAGCAACCTTAGCCTGACTGCTTTGTTGAAGTAGCCACTTAAAGAACTGAGCTAAGAGGCAGGACCCCTATCTTTAATAAATGTAAAACCTTGCTAGAAAAAAAAAAAAAAAACCTTGCTAGAGTAGGAAGATTGCTCAGTGGCACAAGCACCAGCCTGGCAAGTACAGGGTCCTGAGTTCAATCCCCAGTATTCAAAACAAAAAATTTAAAGCCTTGCCATCATTTGTACTTGTCTGGGCCATTTCTTTGCTCAAGACAGAAGGAACCTGGAAGCTGCCTCTAGAAGGTGACTCCAGCACCCCAAGCCCTGTAACACTGGGACCTAAGAGACTCAGCGCTGTCCCTGCTGACCTTGAGCTCTTCCCTGCTCCACCTGTGCTGGCCCCTACCCTGAAGTGATCCTCCTCCTGTCTCGCTCAGTCTTGGCCTGCCAAGTGCTAGAATTGCAAGTGTGTACCACCACACCCTGCTCTTTTATATTTTAAGATAAGGTCTTTTTAAGCCACTAAATTGTCTAGGCTGAGCTTGAGAGTGCAGTGTCTTTGCCTCAGGCTCCAGCAGTGCCAGAATTACAAACTGGCACCACCACACCCACCCAGTTTAGCTAGTCTGAGCCGGAGAAAATGGCTTGAAGCTTCCTGAAGAGTGGCTGGGGCAGGAGTCACCTTCCCTGCAGGCTGAGTCACCCTGTCCGAGGTGTTATCTGTGTAGAGCCCAGGGCCACTTGCCTTTCACTGATAAAGTGAGCAGAGCCTCCGAGCACCCTGCCACCCGTGAGTCCTGGCGTGGTGGTGTGGGAAGTGAAATGACAGCAGTGGTCTCGATTCCCAGCCCTGGGACCCGAGGTTTAGGACAGCTGCTGGTGCCAGGGGTGGCAGTCACATCTGTGATCTCAGACTGCGGTGAGACTGAGGCAAGAGGATCGGAAGTTTGAGTCTAGCCAGGCAATTTAGTAACTTAACACAATCTTGTCTTGAAATTTTGAAAAATAAAAAAGGCTGGGAATGTAGCTCAGTGTGAAGGACCTCAGTTCAATCCTCACATTGAAGGAAAAAAAAAAAAAAAGACAGAGGCTGGAGACTTCCGGGTGTTGACCAGGGAAGTCCAGAGCTGAACCTGGGAAAGCTGGCCTTGAAGTGTTCCAGGAAACCACTTAAGCTACTTTTATCTTGGCGCCCGCCCGTGGTCTTCACAGGAATGAAATAGGATAGGTAAATTTAGGGCTGAGAAGACTGGCTTGGTGACTTTCCTGAATGACATGCCTACATCTTGTTATGGGTCACTCAGAATAGGAACCAGATCAGCCAGGTTGGAATTTGGAAAGCCATCTATTACTGAGCTCAGGGCCCCCATCAGGTCTCACGCAGGAGAGGACCGAAAGGCAGCTAGCCCAGGAAGCAGGGGGCTTTTAAAACATGAAACCACACTTGTTTGGTAAACAAATTCATTGACACAAAACAATGCTTTCAGGGTCATTGTGACCACTACCTAAACTAAATTTCCTGGGGCTTTGTTTTACTTTCTGGTTATCTTGCACCTGAGTAAGTACCTGCAG